TCAGCAAGCAGGGAGAGGCTTTGTAGTCAGAGGCAGTAGAAGTTCATGCAGTTTTTCCTTTGAGATTTTGCCTCCTCTTCAGAGGTGATTGCACAAGCTAACTGACCTCTGTCATGGTGTGTGCTGGGGAACAGGCATACTTAGCAATTTGAAGTCTTCTCCTGGGCATGTTCACTACTAAGGCACCTCACAGTTACCCAGAGGGTCTCTGCTAAACTATGGTTTTGTCAGAAGGGGAATAGAGTTCACAGGTAGCCCTCTGAGGCCACTGGGCCTACTACTGGCTTTCCTTCACTATTCTTGACCTCCCTGCTTCAATCTGTTCTCCAAAATGTGCTTTTGAGAGCTGAAAGTGTATACTTTTGTCTGTGTATTTTGCTGTCAATGATCACAGTAACAGCTAATCCCACAGCATTTAAAACATGGTGATGCCAGTTGTACATTTAACAGCCTTCAGAGCCACTAATAGGATATTTCTTTTGCCAACGAAAAGAATATAAATGCTTGTCAGACAGCTTTGGAAGCAGGTGTGTAATGTGCTGGATCTGAAAAGAAAGCGTTTCATTTTCAGCCCTGTCAGCCAACAAAACCGTGCTGAGCTTTTCCAGTCCTTCATATCCCAGAAGGGTATTACACTAAGCTAGCAACTGGCCTTGGAGAAGGAAGGAGTGAAACCCAAGAGCGGAGACTGACACTTTGCATGACCCTCGCTCAATGGAGCAGCTAGCATGCATCAGCTCTCCCAATAGCTCAAATGGGCTCCTCTGGAGCCAGCTTCTTTTTTCATGTATCACATAAGCTTATAACCATAACTAAACTAAACTTCAACAAGTTAGGATTTTTGGAAACACTTTTGATTTGCTCTTTTACCCTATAAAACCCCATTGCTGCTCCTGCTGGAGAGAATCCAGCAGTTATCCAAGCGAGAGTTCTTGCTTATTTTCTCATTTATTCCTAATCATCTTGATTTCCTTTGGTTTGTTTTGAGAGGGGAGAGGCAAGTAATGCTCACAGGTGCCAAACCTGAGGGCTAAATAATTTCCATGACTCATGTTACTCCTCTTGGAAGAGCAGGAATAAGGAGGATGGCTGTGGAGATAGATGTTCTGGCCAGGTAGCCCATATGGTACCAGAACAGGCAGCAGACAGCAAGAATGCAAGAGAGAGCAGTGGGAAGCTATCATCATGAACATTGACCTTTTATGAGGAAGAGTAGTGACTGGACTGAAACAGATGAGCAGCGTGTTTTGTGATGGTGGGAGAGGGAGGACAGAGGTGAACATACTTGTGGGGGGTAAGGTGGGAGTCTGTGGTAGGCAAGGAAAAGGAACAGGAGGCAGGACTGTCTGATCAAGAAAAGGTGGCTTTCATTGGAGCTTCTTGTCTTTTTTGTGCTATTAGAGCCAAGTCATCCGAATCGGTTTTCTCCTCAAAATTTCAGAACTTCCTCACTACAATCCCAAAGAAGGTTATCTTGCAGAGACCCCAAGTCTTCCTGAGCAGTGACACTTACCTGCCAGAACTGCCTTCTGTGTGTAGACTTCTATAGATCTGTAGAGTGAAAGTCTACAGATAAGCATGGGTCTGCTTATCCCATGGTCTTTATTTCAGGAAGACTCGACCCTTCGAATTTGTCAAGCAAACACTTCTAGTTTTGGTCATCAGTCATCTATCCCTCTAAATTCATATTGCCCAGGTGCTTTTCTGTAATGCATTGTGGTGTTGCCCATATAAAACTGAAAGAGTGGGTGCTGGTCTCTCAAGGTCTTGGCTCAGTCACTTGGCCCCCAGTAGTCCCTTTTGCATTAGTCTTTACTGACAGCTTTCACACAGGGAAAGAAGGGCAGAGACTCTTGGGCCTGTGTGCAGCTGGAGCTATAAGCAGCATAAATGGTAAGTCATATAGACTGATTAAAGCAAAGTTTGTCCTCATCTTGTGGAGCAGTTCTCAAACACAGCTTAGCTAGACCATGGGCTGCCTGTCTGTATTCTCACAGCTTCTGCTTCAGTGTCCTCCAGCACCTTGGCTTCATTTGTAGTGCTTCTGCCTGGGCTTTATAAGTAAAACTGTTCTGCAATCTCTTCATATTTGGCACCTTTTTTGAAACTTTATTTTAATATCCCTAGCAGAGTAGTGTTGCCATTGCTTTTAGCCATGATTCCTGAAGGTAAAAGTTTTGCTTTCATTAGGGCAAATGCCAGGACAACAGTATCTTAGTAACTTGAAAGCTCATCCGTTTGTTGCGGGTTCTTCTAGCACAAACTTGTTTTTCAGGAGTGGGGAGCCTGACAAAAATAGCTCTCTTTAATTTTCTGATAGCTACAGAATCCCATTGCAAAGATGTGGTAACAGATAAGGGCAACAAGGGAGGGAAGTCCTGGGTTGATTTCCGGACACCACAGAACTGGCAATTCTAGATACCATTTGCAGCAACTGCTTAGAGTGACAGCTATGGTGCCACCATGGTGAGTGAAAGCAGATGCATCTAATCACAAAGCTGCTACATCTGCTCCAGGAGGGTGACCACAAACACTAAGACTTCTTTCTAAGTGCAGTATACTAGTAACAGTCATTTAGTAAGGTTTTTTACTTAATTCAAAACCAAGCATCATCAGTTAGCAGACATTATACGAGACTTGTTTTAAGGGTTTTCTATTTCAACACATTCTTCCTATGCCTATGTAACTGAAAAGGAGAATGGAATGGAATAGAATTGACTTTCTAGCATGTTTTAGGCTGAGAAACACAGTGGATGGAAGAAGCATGTGTATGTGCTTGTAACTGGAAACTAGATAAGCCATCTTTCAGATGGATCTAGTTATTAACTAAACCAAACAAAATGATAGGGACAGGGGTATATCATGAACAAACTCTTCCTGACTGGAAGCCACTTTTTCTGCTTTGTGTATGTTCACCAATGAAGTCACATTGCATGTGTGCTTGTGTGAGTTTTGGGAGGTCAGCACTGGCATGGATTACAGATTTTTAAACACAGCCATCCCTATAAATAAACTGAAAATTTTATTTAGAGAAAACTCAACTGATGACAGGTGTAGTACCAGACCTTTATTGTAGGGATGCAGTCAAATGATCAAAGAGTAGAGAGTCTTGTTTAAATGAACAAAATTAGCATGCTTTTAAAACTATACAAAAGGTACTTCTGAATGTTGACGCTAAGACTACAGACTGTGAGTCAGGGAACATCTGATTGTTCACTAAGTGTCAAGAGAGGAAGAAGAGGGGTGATAAGATGTGAAAGAGCAGATCTTCAGCTGCTTTGCTTAGCCCTTGAGATGCAAACTCTATGTTGTTGTTCTGAAAAAGTTTCAAGGGAAGAATTGACCTCATCTGTGCCCTCTGTGACCCTCGGTGATAACCACAAGGCTCTGCTCTTCCAATCTACTGAAGGATGAGGTGTTGATACAAGCACCTATCTACATCACTGGGGGGGGTGGAGGGTTGAGGGAGTTGAGATCATCTTCTTGTGTTTAAAACAGGAACTCAGACTTATGCGGAGCTAAAAACATACACTTTTTACCTTCCAGAGTTCTTCAGTTTTACAATGAAGAATGGCCTCCAACTTATAATTTATGGTTATTTTCCACTAAACAGTTTGCATTATTTAATCTAAAAACAGGTATTAACAAAAACATTAAAAGGGAGGAGGAAGGCTCATGATTATTATTGCAGTGTTAGCTTTCATTCAAGTAAAACAGCTAGAGTTACAGTGCTAACAACAGTAAAATAGGTGAGCGATTAGGAAAAATATCATGCCAGGATTGTCTCTCCTGGGGTTATATGTGTGTGTATATATATATATCATGTTTATGGTGGGTTGACCTTAATTCTACTTTTGACCTTTTACATATTTAAAAGTTTGCTCATCCAGATATCCCCCAAAGGCCAGGATTTCCAAAAAGTTAAAAACTTCAAGTCTCTGTGAGTGACTGCAGCTGACCCCATCTCCATTATAGGGAAAAATAATTAATAGCTAAACACCTACAGAGCAAGCTCCAAGAGCTGGAAGAAGGCTCTAAGGAATCAAACACACTCTTTCATGAGCTTGTATTCTGGAAGGCACTCTCAGTTTTGTATTCAGAATGAGTGTTGTAGCTAACACATCTGCTCTGTAGACTGACCTCAGTAGAACTAAGACTTTATAAACTGAAATGAAAGTGAGCACATCATTCGTAACGTGGTGTGCCCCTCTTTTGCTTCTATTCCACTGTAGTTATGTTGGTTATAACCATAAGCTGCAGGTTGTTTCCCATAGTCTGAGCACAATTTAGTCATTTACTGGTGTAATGGAGCTTAAACAGAAGATTCAGACTTTTAAAGCTGAAGCTTGGTAGCACTGAGCACTTTCATTTCCTCCTTTCAAACATAGAATCACTGCTCAAAAGCCCTTTGTGGGAAATTCTTCATCCATTTTTATGTGATCCTGGTAAGAGATCTTGGCCTGAGTCCATCATCAAGTTAATATACGGGAGATGTGATTTCATCTACATAATTCGTGTGCCTGCAAGAAGTCATTTTCCTAGGAGCACCAGAGGCAGTTCTAGGCAGCCATACCTTAAGGCTGTGCTTTTTAATTTAAAGATAAAAAGGCAATCTGTGGCTATTCATGCCTTAAAGCTAGAACTGCAAAGGACAGAGAGAAACCCATACTGTCATGTAAGTCTTTCAAGACTCATCCCTTTTTGTAATATCCTGTGTTTATTCTTGGAATATGTTTTACTTTCTGTGTATAAATATATGGAAGTTTGTACACATATATTTGCACCAAAGGATACTGAAAAGATGAAGTCTGTGGACTTCAGATAACGAAACTATAAAAAGACCATAACACCTAGAATTCACATTATCACCATCTCAAAATTGAACCATGTAAAAGTAAACAAACAAAAAATACTGCAAATTTCTCTCGGTCTTGGCTCAAAAACTAGCTCTGGAATTTTTCAAAGGCTTCTATTAATAAAACAGTTATGTAGCTTTTTCTTCTTCTAGTCTCATTTCTTCACGGTTTTGTCTTGAGAAGTAACTATTAGAGTGTCCACCACCCTCATCCTCCAGAAAAAGATTTCTGCAATGTGACCTTCTAATCTCACTTTGCTACCAAATGCTAGGTGTTGGGACATACGTCGAGCACAGTTAGGGAGTTTTTGAAGGGTGCACTAATAGAAATGAAGTAGCTGAGTGAATTCAGAGGAATAGCCTTGATTCACTCCTGCTGATACATGGGGCAGGAGTGGGGGACTCAGAGCCAGGAAGGACCTCTACACCCCAAGCATTGCCTGCTGGCAGCTCCAGTGGGTTCCTGGGTAAGACCCCATTGCTGCATAATGCTGTTGCTCCTGTTCCATAGCAAAAGCGTTTCAGTGGGTGTTCTCAGAAAGCATAGCACACAGGTTAGCCTTAACTGACCCATCTTAGTATTTGCAGCAATCCAGCCATTCAGATCTTGGCTGCAAAAGCTCCACAAGGAATTAGCTAGGTTGGGTGTGATGCTTGAGCTGGCTTGCTTGCCTGTGACCTGTATAAACTGCAGTCTCAGCATTCCTGCAGCACTGTATCTGCTTCTAATGAATGCAGACTCTGTCCACACTTGGTAGGTTTCTACACCTCTGCTGCTTATACTAATAGTATTCTCTCTCTCTCTCTCTGAGTTTTACCTTGCCTATATCCTGGCATTATCACAGCTCTGCTACTTGGAGGTCAGAGTAAATGTTTGAGATTAGGCAAAGCTATGGTGATATCAGAAGAAATACCTTGAGAATTATGCTCTTAAACCAATACAAAGTTTAAGGCCATGGAGTGGGTAGTTGACAGGGCTTTGCAGCTCCTGAGTGTGCTGTTTTCATTCAGTGACACGATGCACTGCCAGACATATCCTACCAGTGAACTTGTTTGGCATCATGCTATGCAGTGTTTCTTCCTGGGGTGTGAGATGTGCCTGGTCTTAGGCAGGGGCAGTTGCTTCTTTTATAAAAACCTGCCTGTTTTGGCTGGGCTTTGAAGCCAGCCAGTCTTCTTAGACCAATACCAGCTCTTAAAAGCACTTCTGTGGACTGAGTGGGATTTTGAAAGCTATTGTGTGCCTTTGTTGCATGGGTTTTACATGTCTCCACTTCTTACTTGTCAAATCATAACAAATTGAGGATAGCGTTTCATACTTTTTACTGACTCAGTCATATTTTCAAAAGCTGTTTATTTTTGATATAAACAAATGAAATAACCTGCTTTGCCTTTTCACATCTACAACACCCCCCCCCCCCCCCCCCCGTGTGTTTGCAAAACACTGCAGCAGCCTAACAAAATACAGTGTGGTGTTCCTGCTGTGACCCGAAATACTCGCTCGTGTGCTCCAACCCAGCCATGACAGTTTGCTGCTTTTGGCTATGAGTAGTGGATGCTTTATAGCAGTTAACTGTTATGTTCCGTATACACACGTTATCCTATCTACATTCCCTGCCAAAGCAGTTTCCTCTTGCAAAACTTCCTTTGTCATTTTCCCACTTTTTTCCATTTTTTTTTCTTTTTGTTTCCTCTTATTCAGCACCATTATCCGGTGTTCTGAAAAGCCAAAACAGCCCATTGCTTGTAAACCTTTCCTTCTTTTTCTCTTTTGCTGCACCTCTGTTGGATTTAATATCTGCAAGTCCTCATTTCCTATGTCTTACTTGTCATATTTCATTTTTGAAATACCTATGGGTCATGTCTCTACCAGATGCCATGTGCTATTTGTGTTATTTTTACACTGCAGCCTAATTCAACATATTTCCTACTGCTATCTTTGTCTACTCAATCTTCAGTAAGAAAAAATGGTTTGCAAGCATTGCAGTAAAGATTCAGCTAAATGCCCGGTATTATCTGACTAAGAAATGGTTGGATTTCCAGGCATGTTCTTTCATTAGGCAGTATGTCTCAATACTATGATAAGAGTCCTTTTAGTACAATTTGTCATATAAATGGCATCTTGCTTTTCCATTCCATGCCAGTATTTGTTGTCCTTTAAAAGAAATAATAATAAAAAAAACCTACATAAAGAAAAAGCCCCAAGAGAACCAAAACCAGCTCCCAGTGAGTTCAATGTCAGTTGCCAGTAGTCAAATCTCATGCAGTGCAACAACTTTTAATGTCTGCTTTAAGACAGGAAGTTTTTGCATGAGTGCTTTCCTTTGAGTTGAAATAGGCAATGAAAAAGGGATTTGATGGCTAAAATCATCTGCCCTGTTACAGTGAGTTGCAGAGTTCTAAGCTATGTTCAGTGTTTCAGTCTTCTGCATGGGGAAGGGCACAGGGAGGACTGTCCACACTGGACTGGGAGTTGCCTAAGTGGAGCAGCACACTTCCTTGTGGTAATCAGACATCAACTTTCTATGGTATCTCTCCAATCCTCTCCATTTATTTAAATTTGCTGATATAGTTCTTTGAGTTACCAAACAAAATCCATGCCACAAACTTTTTATATGTGTTACAAACCTGCTCGAATAAATAAGAGTCTATCAAGCACGTGTAATAAGTAAGGGGGAAGAGGGGAAGAAGAGGAAGGGAGGTATCAGCACAAATACATTTTCATTAGTCCATTAATTCGTAAAATATTTTGAGAGCTTTGTAATAAAGTGTGCAGACTGCAAAGCCAACTCGTTAGAAAAAATGTTGAAGTATTTTGTAAAACATTTATGATCTTGGATTTGTGAGTGCTGGAAAAGTTAATCTCATACCAGCTTGCTACTGATTGCAGAGCAATGGTGTTACAAAGTCTGTAACAGGAATGATATGGATGTTGCACTTCCCAGAACTGTTTTACTAATGATTTCTGAGCAGAAAACAGATTGTTTTGTAACACACAAGCCCTCTGCAGTTGTAGTTTAGCAGAAGAACCAGAGACCAGCAAAAGCAATGTCTTAGTCTTGGCTACCTTGTTTCCTGTGTTATTTTCACTGGTGTTAAGTCAGAATGAAAGTGTCACAGTTTGGATTATTCTGTCCACCCAGAGCTGCAGCAAGTATCACAAGATGTGATACACCAATAGTTTCTACACCAGGCATTTAGATTAATTACACCTTGTCTGAGAGCTGTGTTTAATCTAGGAAATGGAATCCCTGATTCTGGTTCGGTGTTTCCAGAGTGGTGAGGTGTCCTAGGAAGTTAAATTACAGTTCCCTGTTCATCAGCTTTGTCCCATTTAGTTAAGGGGCCAAGAGACAGCAAAGTCAAATGGTTTTCTTTTGGTTTGTGCTGCATAGCCCAATCTGACATGCAAGGAGACCAAAGACCCTGTCTAGCAAAACCCTTGCTGACCTTACTGGCAGAACAGAGGCATGACATGCAAGTGGCATGGCACACCCTAGCAAGACCTGGGGTCAGTGGAGCCATCTGCAGAACAAGGCTGAAAGTCAGCACACCCTCCCCCTGTACCAGGGGACTTTATGTTTTGAGCGGGTGAAGTGGCTGTCTGTACAAGCTGATACGCCGAGTTTGCCTGCCAGGTATCTAAAGATTTTGTAAAACTTCAAGGCTTCTGGGATTCATTCCAACTGCCTTTCACATATCTGCGAGCACAATTTACATTTATTGACAGGCTTTTCTTTGGAGAGGTGACTAGAAACTAGGGCTGACCTGCAAGGACAAGAGCAGTTTCTCCCCTCACAGGAGGAGAGGTAAGTGGCTGCAGCCCAAGTGACCAGGCAGCCGACCCCAGCTCTACCCCAGCCAGTCCTTCCTGTTCATCACCCTGCGCTTCCATGGAAAAATAATTTCATACGAATTTTAGAGGAACATCCAGCTAATCAAAACACAGCAGGCTGCCAGCGGAACCTGAGCAGAGCGGTGCCATCACACACACCATGGCAGTTCCAATTCTGCTGCTTCATTCTCTTGACAGAGATATTAACAAAAAGAGGAAACGGGCTATTACCATGACAAAGGCTTTGACAGCACAGGGAGAATGGCATGTTAACTCATCATCGGGCAGGGTGAAGCTGGCTGGTAATAACTGCGCTCCCACTCTGTACCACTCACAGCACTTGAAATCTACCTCGCTGCTGTGTGGGTTTGTCTGCTGTGGAGCAGGGCACCTTCTACTCACCTGGGTACTTAGGCATAGCAGCCAAGCGCCCCGCTTCTAATAACACAGGCTATTAAAAGATCATCTTCAGTCTGTTTTGTTTCAGATCTCTGAGTTAACACCCACTGATGTATGTATCAAGCAAGTGGAAATTTGTGCTTCATTTAATGGACAGGGGGGTGCTTTTATTCTAAAGGGGAGTCAGCTTGTGCCATATGTGTAGAAGCACTGTCATCTGCTTTTATTGCGAGCAGATGTCGGAGTGTGTTTGCCTTGGAAAAACCCAGGAGACTCAGAATTAGCTACACTAATAGAGGACATTTGGTAAACTGGGTGTATTTTAGTTATTTCAAGATCCAATTCAGATTATGAGAAATAAGGATCAGCTTTCTGTGGGGCTCTCAGAAAGCTCTGGAAGCATGGACATTCCTCTGTTTGTTCCTCCCTGTCTTGAGTTCCACTAATGATCGGTGTCTGGGAGGCTGCTGGGTTTGCTCTCTGCCGTTTCCATGCCGTGGGTCACTGTAGTAACAGCCCTGACACAGTGCATTTAGCTAAAGGAGCGCTTGGCAGCACCTCTCCTCCCCTGGTCTGTCTGTCAAACCTCTATCATTAAACTAGCTGAATGATGAGCAATTACAGCTTTGGGTGGCACTCTGGCCATTTCTTTCAGTTAGGTCTTTAATTGCTGTTGCTGTTCTCTGGAGTCTGATATCCAGAATAATTTTCCTGACCTCCCTCTCCCAGCCTATTTAGGTCCTGAATCTCTTAAGCCAAGAACTGTCTTTCAGTCCACAGGCAAAACTAGGCTTGCTGTGTTCTTCATCAGTGTGAATAGTTACACAGATACCACCTTTGTAAGAAGGTGTAGCATCATCTGTTATATCAGGTGGTGTAAATATAGGTAGACAAGCCTTGGGCTCTTTATCAGGTCTGACAAAACAACAGCAAAGAAAACCCCAAAAGGTTTACATGTTATGTTCACTGGAGGGTGTCTAGCTATCCAATCTTTTTAAGCGATTTTTCCAGTAAACAGAATAAATGTAAGCAACTGGT